AACAGGACAGAAAGTCCCATGTCTGCAGGGTCCAACCTGCCCTACCTTTCCCTCTGGAGTCCATTCTTCACTTCATTCATGCCCTCTCACATCCCACATATAGAAACCTCACTCTTTCCTCCTTCCTTGCTACCTCCAGGACACCAGTCACTGTTCTCAGCTTTATTGTCCCCAGTCACACCTCACATCCTCAGAGGACCATTCTGGCACAGCAGAGCTTGAGAATAGTCAGTTTCTCACCAGCAACAGAAAACGTCAGTGACTCCTCTACACCAGCCCTCCCCTCCTTGCTTCCTCCGGGGAGTGGAGACCAGGGGGTGGATGCTGCAACCATAACCATTGGTGCATCTCTGGCCAAAGATGCTCCTGCTTCTTGACAGTGGGCGCATCTCTGGTGCATGTGGTATGTACCAAGTTCCACCTTGTGGTGACACTGAGAATGGACTTCTCTACAGAGCCTGTGGCAGCATCAGCAAACCTTCTTCTCTTCCTTACATTTGTTCTTCTTGCCAACTCTACTTCCTTTCCGGGGTGCTTGAGAGGTTCTGCTGAGCCGGGGCAGGGTGACCTTAAAGTTTCATACAGCAGGAGTTCTCCCCAGGTATCATGTTGTGGCTGCCCTTCAAAGCACTGCCTAAAACCTTCCTCTGCTGGTGTGCTGGCAAGAAGTCCTATGATGGGCAGATTTCTGGTGCATTTACAACAGTGCTGTCACCATGCCCAGTATTTTTCAGCACCACTTTCTGTATCCTTTGGCTGCCTCGCCTTGTCTGCAAGGTTTCTGGGAGAATGGTCACTTCTCCAGCCCTGGTCTGACCAGCCTGCCCAGCCCAGCTATCTTTCCCGAAACGTGGCTGGCTATATCCAGACCGCCTACTGCAAAGGGCTGCAGGACCAGGCCATCACCCAGATCATGCTATGGGCTAGCTTGCTGTGGATCAAAACCATGCTGAGGAATGTGCTGGCAGTTAAACAGTGCAGAGCCCTGACTTTGGTTTGTATAGACGAAGCCAGGCTGCCTGCTCAGACATTTCACAGGCAGTTCCAATTGTGACCTTTATTTGTGAAAATCTTCATAAATCTTTCTGCCAGTCTGGGTCACTCAAAGGGAGCTTGGATCTGTGCCCAGGTTGTGACCCATCAAAACCTGTGTTTTTACTGAAATCCAGATAAAACACCTTACTGAAGTTCACTGCACCAAACCACACTGAAGGTTTGGTTCAGACCTTCCAATGGTCCCTGCATTACAGTGCATATAGAGATTTGGCTGCAGAGCGAGAGGCACTAAAACAAACACTGGCTTGCAGTAAATTATAGCTTTTCCAGTCGCTGGTGTGAAAAGAGCGTGAATAAAGTAATTGAAAAGAAGGATATCAACTTGATAGATAGGACCAGGAGCCACAGCCAGAAGCACTCTGGCAGCTTAGCTGCCTAATTTCTAAATTGTGTTTCTGGGCACACACTGATGAGGACGTTCTTTTCATAAAACCAAAGTCAACTGTAGGTTGGTCCGAGCTTTTTTATTTTTAAGATCCCGTAACAGCTTTTCTTGACCTTTTCTTCAGGAGCTGAAATTTCTTCTACAGACAAAGTGCAGGTCACTCGTCGCATTTCTGTAGCAGGGCAAAATTTGTGCAATAATTAAATTGCACAATTGAATTATGCAAAACTAGGGGAGCATATATACGTTATTTAATTTCCCCCCCCCCCCCCCCCCCCCCAGTGATTTATCTGGAATTTCGTCACTTCTAACTTTAGCCAAATACAGCAAACAAGACTTGTCTTGTGTGGTTATCTCAACACAGGGCTTTAAAAGGCATCCATATGAGGGGCAGCCTGAGGTGTGAGAATGACCCCACACACATTGTCTAAACTGGCTTATTTAAGGTGTGGAAGTATCTTGGTTTAGAAGAAACTGTGACAAAATCTTCTCTACCTGCATAAAGGAAAAGAGAAATCTCCATGTTTGACAAGGCTCTGCAGCTTTCTGTTCTTGTAGGCTTGGCTGAGTAAGGACTGAGACCCTCCACCCACTGTAAAGACATGGCCTGGGGGGTTAGTCTTGTAGTATTTAGTTATTTAACATGCACTGAACAAGAGGCCAGGAGAAGACAGAGTACAATTCATCTCTCTAGAGCTCTAAAAACCTAGCATTTCTTGCAGAGACCCACATTTAGCCAGCTGAATCCCACCCCGAATGATCAAATCACTAAGTATTTGTCTGCAGCTTTCCTTCATAAATACCCAATTATATATTTCAGTCCCCCTGTAAAGGAAACTATACTTTGCTCCCAAATTATCAACACCTTTGTCTCCCTCATCTGCCTACCCAGTCAGCTGAGTTTCCAGATCCTGCACAAACCATCTCTTCCTCACATACCTCTCCCAGTTGCTTTTCCCTGTAGATGGCTGTATCCTTTCATCTCTGCTACACGCAGCGGTTTTCCAAGCAACTGCATTTCCTTCTTCCTCCTCTTTCATTTCCTCATTAAACTCTATTTTTCTCCAAGCATCTTCTTTCCCTGAGTCACCTACTTTTGAGCCACGTCTTGCCCCAGTTAATCTGTTCTTGGGCCTGATGGTAGGGTTTGCACACGAGCAGCAATCTCAAAACTCACTGCGGGCTTTAATTTTACTAACAGACATTGCTCAGATTGGAAACTTAGCAGCTTTTGTGTCAAAATGAAAAAAGACCCCAAATTAATTTTACTTGTCCTGTAATGGAACAAGCTGCATGTTCAATGTTCTGATAAGTGTCAGTATTGCAAGTTCTCCTGCACTACTGGAAACACTATGGCTCAAAAAACTCCCATGAAAAGCATCAGGCACAACCTGCATCAGATGAGGTGTGCTAGGAGTATTTTGTTTGTAGGAAAGGAGATCAAAGTCACCAGGGCTGATCCCAACTAACATTATCTCCACCCACAGAGGCTGAAGCCCAGAAGGAGCCTCCTCAGTGCTCTCAGCTAAGAAGGGCAGGTAGAGATGATTCATTTGGAAATTTAAATCTAGAAGTTAATGCTCAGGACTAGCTGCAGAAGAAACAAGGAAATGGCCTATTTTCTAAGATTTTACTAACCCTCCCTGCTGATTCTCACCCTGGGCTGTGGCAAAGGGCATTTCCGTAACAGGGCTGTGGCATTCCCTGCACAATGTACACAGTGTCTTGGATGAAAAAATCAACATATAAGAACAATGCATAGTACAAATTAGCTATTCTATACTCTGCGTGAGCACAAGAGCTCCCAGTTCAGAATCAAACTAACTCATGATTCAAGACAAAGATTATTAATAGCTCACGGAGTTTAGCAGATTCACTGCGTACTAAATGTGGATGACTCTTTATAAAATAAGCAACAAGAAGCCCATTCAGCTGAATTCACGCATTCAAAATACAAGGCACAGACCACTAAATCACAGCAGCTACTCCGGCTCTGCAGAGACAAGGGAACACGCTCAGTTTTCTTCCCAGGACTTAGATCTCTATCCAAATGTGGAGCAAACAAAACTATATAAAATTTTAGGAGACTCTCATCCATAGTAATACCCACTTCTGCTACCAGAACATATCTCAGGTGTCTCCTACTTACTGTCACATACTTTACTGAGACTGAGCCATGTGCCTGTGGCTAATTCTGACATGGTAAATACAGCTGTTGCTGTATCTATGTTGGAAAAAAAAAAGGAAGAGAAAAACTGAAAGAATTAATTGAGTTTCAACATACATACATACAGCCATAGGGAAAACATATCACAAACCACAGTGCCTGTCACCATAGTCTTACAAACTACTTTGCACAAGTCTGATTCTGCTAACAAACTAACATGTGAGCAACTTTTCTTGTCTCAGTAGTCTGGCATTCAGAGTGACTTTGGCACTTGTGTGTGTTATGTGTCAAGGAATTTCAGTAAATACTTTTTTAAAAGCTTGGCTCATTCAGTATCGTGTATTTTCTGCTTGAGAGAAGAAAACAGATTAACAAATAGCCACTGAATTCTTCTTGGCTCTTAACCCCAGAAGGCTAAATAATATTTACTGAAAAATGACCCACAGGCCAGAATAGGAAATATTTCAATAGTTCCAGATGTATTTCTTAGCTTTATTTCCCCAGTGGTTCTATAATGAATGAGATACCTACAACAAATACAACATTAACCTCTGTCTCACCTTCCTGTCAGATTTCTAGCATCTAGGAAAACTTGAGCCTGTGGGAATCTTTTCACATTTCTCCTGGTAATGCTAAACTGATTATGTTTATGGTCAATCACTTATTGCTCTATTGATTTATTTTTGTTCATAGCTCATCTATAGTAAGAAAGCATCTACCTCATGAAATAAAAATAGGCACTGTAGCCTCTTCCCATTTCTGTGGGATCACAATATCCCATTTCAATCTGTAGCTATCACAGCTCTGAGTTCCTTCTGCTCATCAGAGTAAGTAAAATACAACGAAGAGGTAACAAAGCAATCTATTAAAGTCATACAAGGGAATAAGAGATATTTCATTACCCTGTCTGTAAGGCAAGCCTCCCAGTCTTGGTACCAATCAAACCTTCTTAAATACCACTTTGCCTAAAGGGCAGAGAGGACTTCTTTCGCAGAAACATTACTTATTTTGTATTTAACATTTATAGATAGAGTCTTGGGGGCAGACCCTGAGCCGAGGTGATTTATCTTGGCTCTGCTGTCTTCACCAGAGCCCAGAGAGTTTATTTAGCTGAGCAACCATCCCGCTCTCAGTTTCACCATAAAGGGCAGGAGATTTGTATCAACTTTTCTGGATTTGCGGACACTTACCCAGCCATGACACCTTTCCCACCAACGCAGCTAACCCTATTACAGAGAAGAATCTGTCGTATCTCTCTCTGTAATACCGACTCTGTGCTGCCTTACTTCCAAATGAGAGAATGGGGAGGCAGAGGAGAGAAGAAAGGAGGGATAGTAAAGCTCTTGGACAAGATAAGAGAGCTGAAACGCAAGGACATTTCTACAGACTTACTGTTACAAGCGAGGAAAGTACCATTCGCTTCCATTGCTGCAAAGTAAGCCGGTGTGCAGCAGCAGCAGAAAGGGCTCCGGGAAGCAGCTGTGCCCACAAGTTAGCGCTGGCCCGGGGTGGGAGCCAGAACCGTGAGCTCAGCTCCCGCTGCTCCAGTAATCCCCAACGTCAGCTCCCTTCCGAGAGGCCTGCTCCTTCCCCTTGGCTAGAAATACTAGGTCTTCGCTATGACTCCTCATTTATTTGTCTCCTGCATCCGCACACCGCCGTCTGCCCGGCGCATCGACTGAGGGAGCGTCCGAACCCCAGCGCCGCTGGCCCTGGCTCCTCCCCGCTGAGATCTGGCGTCTTCACCGCTGGCCCAGCCTCCCGCGTTTCGCTACCGCTGCAGCTTCAGAACGATGCTTCTTTTCCTGTTTCTGGCACGTTATCACGTTCCTCTCCTTTCCGGCAAGATTTCCAGAAGGCGCCGAGTGCGGCAAATCTGTCCTTCGTGGTACCTCAAAGCAAGAAAAGGGCCTCAAGCAGATACCACTGATCAGAGACTGGGTCTAAAGAGCTTTTGCATAGTAGTGGGGCATATTTCTTTTCTCAGGGGAAAGAAGAAAAAGCAGGTCGCAAAGTGCCAATGTAGACATAGAAGCTGTAACCACAAACACTCTCAGAGGCATGAGGTTAAAAGCAGAAGTTACAAGTTTTGCATTTGAGATAGTGGGACAGAAAAAACTACGTTGTCCTGAGGGTTTTACTGAGTGGAACTGATTTCTTCCACTCTGTCCTCTACTCTTGAATGAGGTACGTTTTTAAGAGCAGGAAGACAATGCTGGCAAACGAGGAGGAAAAGAGGGAATCCAGTGTGCAAAAATAAAGTTTCCCTCTACTTGAATGTTTGAGGGAGGGTTTCAGTTATTGTTTTGCTGTTGTTCATTTCAGTTTCTTGTTATTTAGGTTACGTTGATGCAACTAATGGATGGAGTTGTTGGCAGATTCAAAGCCCTCACTCCTCAGCAGCGGTAAGCCAGCAGCACCACTGACAGAAGGGGAAAGTCCCTCTCCCGTAACAAATCTGGGAGACACGATGAAAAATACTTTAGGACTAAGACTGTTTGTCACTCCCTGCCAGGAACTGGGCTGCTCCTTTAACAGCCCAGACTTGCTCTCAGATAGTTTACAGTCCACAAATATGAGGCTACTGCCGCCACCCAAGGAAAACTGCCCTAATATAGCAGAACTCCTCATGCTAGTACAAAGCTAACAAAACCAAACAAGTGGAGGAGAAAAAAAGAGGAGAGATTTCATCCTGTGACTCCTCAAAAGACTACTCTTCTGTCTCAAGGCCACCAGCATAACATGGGGGGGGGGGGGGGGAGAGGGAGGAAGGAGTGTCGTCATCTCTGCTAAACAATTTCCAAAGGACTCAGGGAGGAGCATTCCTTTTGCAATCCCACACACAAGGAGACATTGATTTAGACAGGGGCAAACTGGCAGCAAGGTAGGATGCTGGCAAGCGGAACAGCAGCTGGAGGCACCCAAGAGGTTCCTTGTACAGCCCCAAAAGCCTCAAGGTAGTGGGATTTCTGGAGAACACCACCAAAACTCATCCTTTCAGGAGATAGGGAAAAGTACTGGGGGGGAGTGTAGAGGAGGCTGGTGGCTGAGTCAGCCAGACTGGAAACTCCAGTAAAGCTGAGGTGATGAGGACATTACGGTTTTTATAAGGGAGGAAAAGTAGAGAAGGGCAGTTTGAAAGTGGTGATGGGAAATGGCATTATATTAACTCATTCATTCTTCTCTGTATCATGCCCCATTGCATCCTCGCATTCTTCCAGAGGTGGAGCATCCACAGCTTCTCTGGGCAACCTGTCACAGTGCCTCACTACCCTCACAGTGAAGAACTCAACACAGAACACACCTTCATTAACCCACTTGCTCTGTAGCTATGTAAGTGAGCTTGGAAGGAGTTAAGTGTCAGCCAGGCTGGGTAAGAAGCCTGCCTCCCTCTGTAACACACCCTCCAAGAGGTCCATATGTAGGGGTGCTGAGATCATCAGATGAACTGGAGTTATAGGAAGTCAAGGAGAGCTCTCCTTTCATCAGACACCTGCACCCCTTTGCTTTCTCCTCTTTTGTTTGTGCACACACAGCCCAGGACAGGCAGCAAACAGCATTTGCAGTGTTCACAGCAAAAAATGTTCACAGGGTTCAATCCAACAGTGAACCATAAATCATAGCAAACCCAAAGCAAAGCACTTTACCTATCTCCACTCCGAAAGCATGACTCAAATGTTGATTTAATTGTATGCAATGGAAGGACTAGCTTTTCATCTCAGAGGAATGCTACATCACCTGATCGCCAAGTATTTCCTATGGAGAAGATGCCTCTTGGCTCCCTCTGCCTTTCAGACTCTCACACACACCCTCCTCATCACACAGAAATGTTCCCTACCTCCTCTCCGAAAGATAACAGCAAAGTGCTTTGTTTGCTTTGCAAAAACGGCTCAGGATTTCCATTGCTGTGACACAGCAGGAGTGTAAGAAGCATTTGGGGGTTATATGGCCAGCAGGGAGCTTTGGCAGCCATGTGTCTGGATTTTTTTGTCAGCAGGAGGATTACTGAAAGCAGCACAAAAGAAAATGTCATATTAAATAGAGTGCATGTCAATGCAGAAGCGGGACTGGAATTTTTCAGACACTTCTGTTACAATCTGGCTATTTGCTGAAATGTTTTTTTCGTATCTTTTCCCAGACTGTTTACTATTTTAGATAGGGTGTCTTACCATCCTCAGATCATCCAACTGTCCTGTAAATCAGTTAATAATAGATGGACAGCAAAATGTAAAATTCTCAATTGCCTTTTACATTTTGGGAACTGCTTGGGGCCCTACTTTGGATGCCCATTTCCAGTCACCCTGATGACTCATCTTTTATAAAGGTATCATTACTCTTCTGTTATCAGTACTCTCTGTTAGGTGGACACAGTTCTTGTTGATTACACATCACTCATCCTACCTGTGCTAGATCTGGGTTTCAAAGGACTGATCCTGCCACTGAGTCTGCTACACCCAGCATTTACTTATTGACAAATTTTTCTCTGGGTTTCTGGCAGCTGCTGATCCTTCACCTGCAAGAAACACATTGCAGTGTGGGGAAAAGCAGCCTCACGGCTCAGCTGTCAGAGCTCAGTACCTCTGGAAATCAGGTTTCCTTAGGAGATACACTGGGAAAACCTCAGGAATGGGATTTATGACTGTCCAAGGACTATGAGATTATTGGGTTTATGGACAACTCGCTGGACAAAATAATTCATGGTAGTTTATAAATTAGGCTGGAATGGAATTAACACAGTATCATAAAGTTTATTGAACAGATAGGGCAGCCAGATGCCTTGTTTATCACCACAGAACACTGTGCCAAAACATTTTCGGACTGAATGATGTTGATGTATACAACTGCATTTAATCCATTTATTGCAACAGTTAGGAGTCAGGAGAGCAGTACATGGCCACGGCAAAAAGAAGCGACAGATGCTGGGATATGTAAAACTAAACCTGCTGCTGGCATAATCCTATGCAAGTCCCATTAAAGTTAATGAGGTATTTCTGCTTGAGCAGAAGATAAATTCGATTTACTAAGCCAGAAATACACCTGCCTGACACTGGATATCTTAAGTATTTGGAAGTGTTTTCCCTCCACTTAGTAAAAGTAATCAGGAGCCGCTCTAACCACCAAATAAAGCAATAGAACCGTCAAGAGAGCCATCTATTAATATATTGGTCACAATTAAAGACAGAGTTACCAGCTCAGCAAGTCTCACACTGATTTCAGACTGAAAAATTATATGAAAACAGAGGAAAAAGCAAGATTATGCATAAAATTCAGGAATAAAAGACCTAGATTTTTCTAGTTGTTCCAAAAAGTTCATTATAACTCTAGGAATTTCAGTATAAAGGAGACACCTAAGTAATTTGACCTCTGTCCAATAGTGGTAGATATGATTTAGACATCTCACTAATTCTGTTTTCACACTAATTTTGTGTTGAAAGTTTTATTTCATATTTGTTTACCTATTTTCTGTCAGTACAGGATAGATTTATGAGTGTCTGAGTGTAACTTCTGTGCATTTCTGTGCTGTAACGAATTTAGGTTTAAGTGAGCCCTGTAATGTTGAATTCCCTGACTTAAGATATTTTGATTCTGGGATAATGAAAATGTCTTTGCCAGAGAGCTGTGCAGAAAAGTACATTTAGGTTTAAACTCTTATTAGCAATAATTATTTTCTGGGGGGAGGATACCCTATAGTCTTCTTTTAAAGCTATGAAAAGCTCATCTATTAACAGTGAATGAGAAAATGTCATGCATACATTTTATCAGCTTCTCAGTCCAGTGCATCAGTAAACAGCATGGATCAGCCACACAATACGAGATAGCTACATATGATTTACAACTCAGTGAATGATTTACTAAGTCTGGCCATTAATATGAAGTTAGCTTTACATGAATGAGAAACAGTGACCTAACTGGGGAATCTAGTAATGTACTAGGTTACTGGTATGAAAACATTACTTGGAGTTATTATCACTGTAGAAAGAGCAATGGAAGAATGGTCCCAGGGTCCTGCCACCTTTATCCGTTGATGGCTCTTTCTCATATATCCCAGATTACAGCAGAGCTGAGACACTGAGCTTCACAACCACTGATGTGCAGGTTCACAAGCTCATTTCTGATCTTGAAAAACCACAGTCATCAGGCCAAGTCACCTGCTATCACTTGCTACGTGCTTGACACATCTCTTCTTACCTGCACCAATAGCACTGGGGTATAGAAGTTAAGTATGGAGGAAGGTTGATGATGAATGTCATAATGGTTATCTTAGTTCTTTGTGACTGGGATTATCACAGTGATTAAATGCAATTGTTGATATCACTACCTAATTGCAGCTTTTTTCATTGTAGCCTGGTTTTTCATTGTTTGTCCTGGTTTCAGCTGGGATAGAGTTAATTCTTCCCAGTAGCTGGTACAGTGCTGTGTTTTGGCCTTAGTCTGAGAACAATGATGTTGTTAACACACCAATGTTTTAGTTATTGCTAAGTAGCACTTACTGTAACTCAAGGACTTTTCAGTCTCTCATGCTCTGCCAGTGAGGAGGGGCACAAGAAGCTGGGAGGGAGCAGAGACAAGGCACCTGACCCAAACCAGCCAAAAGGTATTCCATATCACAGCACTTCATGTGCAGTATATAAACTGGGAGAAATTGAACAGGACTCCCCAGTCGCTACTTGGGGATGGGATGGGTATCAGTCAGCAGGTAACGAGCAATTGTATTGTGCATCACGTTTCTGTCTTGG